GGATCCCTGCTTCGTTATTGGATTTTCTGTATTTTTGACCTCGGACATGTCTTCTGACTTCAATCCTCTTGCCTGCCTACTCTTATCCCTCGCTGCTCTCTCCGGTTCTGACCCATGCTTCCACCTGACCAAGCCCTGATTCCTTTCTGGATTTTTGGTAACAAATACCCAAACTGTTCAATAAAAAACTTCTTACTGTGTTTGGTTGTCCTTACGGGTCCTCCATCCAAGGTCATTGGGTGTCATTGACATGAAGGAAGCACACTTCATGCTCCTCCTCCACCCTGTTTGTTTACCCCAAAGTCGCATTTGATCTCAAGAGGTTTTCAGGAATTTCCCAGCTGACTGGGTAATGTTTGCGTGAAAGCAGTTTGTGTGTAGCCGTGTGGCTGGACATCACTCACTGTAGGACAATAGCTGTTATATCTTTGATTTGTTAATGCCACGTGTGGAATCTCTTGTGTATTAGCCCTATAACGCCATTTGGATCATATTTGCTATATGAGTTTTTGAGACCTCTATCTCACCAACATGATCAACATTTGCCTTAAAAATCTGTTGTGTGTGTGTATATATAATATGATACGTGTATTCTGCCCCCTACTGGATTGTTATGCTATTTCAGGCAGCTCAAGATTAGTTTTGATCATTCCCAACATGGCTGCTCCCGGTAAGTGGTCCACTCTCCTTTTTCAGTAAAATCATTACTAATTTTTGAGAAGTTACGGCAAGAACAGCATCAAAAGTCGAAGTTATTTTATAAAATAAGTCGTTTATTTTTTCTATTGAAATGGTGCATTTCTATTAAGTAACTCATTTATTATATTACAATTAAACCATGTGAAAATGTCTGTCAAATTTGACACTGCAGGTATGAAATGCGGTTTCCCCCAAATTGTCAGTTTTGTTATTTAATCGGCATAATACTTACTAAAATACAAACACATACTATTTTGATGACTTAATCTAATCAATCACTCAAATGCTATATTCAAATACATTTTGAGTTATTCCACAAAAACACTTCCTCTGAAATAATGTCTGTGCTATATTGACCTAGAGATTTAGATTTAGATGTAAAAACAAAACTAGAGGAAAAAGGTGAGAAAGAGAATGTACTTTGAAAATATCAACATGATAATGGATGGTAATACCAAAGACTGTAGTTGGCCGAAGACGATGAGGATGAAGAATGGACTCCTCTGGACATGCACAAAAGTTCAGATAGAACTGATGAGAAAGACAATCAAGAAGAAAGCAGGGGTGCACTGATGTGAAAATGTAGGCCTGTATCAATACACGACATTAATTTTGCAGTGATATCCGATAATCGATATTTACTAATATTACACAAAAATAAGTAGGGAAGTAAGAAAATAACAACACACTGAAATATTTCAACATTTTATGTTCAGATATAAAATCGATATTTAAAAGCAGATTAGATATTTTACTGAGAATTTACATGAAAACATTTACTTTATTTCGCTTGTGTGGCGCAATTCAAAGTCTGACTGCTAGGTTGCAGCAGTTTTTACCAGTTTCATTCTGGTGGAACAATAAGATCTTGTGATAACACCAATGTGTTTTGCAAGCATCTGACCTGAGGTTTTCAGTGGAGTTCAGTCTAAAATGTTGCTAAATGTTCTCTGAGTTTTATTACTGCAATAAATCGTATCCTCTCTCATGTATTTAGATCTATATTGTATTGCCACATACTTGTCAATAAACTCTCCTAAGTAAACAATAACAAACACCGGCCAATGCCGATGTTGATGCCGATTTATTGTATATCCTGATTTCCTCTTTTGTTGACATTGAACCAGTGAGTAATACGAAACTTGGGGATCGCAAATCCAAAACTCACATGATGGTTCGCAGGCCTGCCATTGTTGATGGAAGTGTAAGGTGCACTTTTGCCTGAACAAGGACATAAACAGTTTTTCTGCCTAACACAAAGTGAACTAAAAAGGTTGAGTTATGTGAAACAGAAAAAGAGGTAAAACTTTATAACATGTTCTATAACTTAAAATTGTTATGGACAAAACTCTTTTGTTGTCTAAAATCAACATTGTTGTTAACAAAATATAGCCAAAAATGCCTAATGTATAAAATGCGATACAAAAAAACATATAATAAACAACATGATGGAAGAAAAAATGTGCATTTTGTTATAAGGGTTAATACATAAAGGTAAATGCACACTGAAAGATAGAGAGTTCAGCTCAGATCCACCCAAGATTTCATAAGATAGTTTTTTGATAGGAGAAACAGGATGAAAGGGCTAGCATAACATTTTTAAGCTAATCTCTGAAGGTTTAGGGTTTAAAGTATGTTTTGGGGATGACTCTTAACTGTAAACAAAGTTTTCGCTTTATATGTGTAAAACAGACAGACAAAGTCTATTTTCTGTCATGACCTTTGGCTTTGGCCATCTTGAATTGGGTTGACAAACACACACAAAGCAGACAGGCCAAATTATTACTGTCTGCCTTATGGAGTTAAGATAATATCCTAGCAGATGTTACAAAACTCAAGGTCAGGGTTGTCCAGTACTGTCAGGACCCTGCAGTGTGTTTCAGATTAAGCTGTCTGCTCCTCACAATGTCTGAGTGACTGTTGACTGAACCAGATTCTTCCCAGCTCGCATGAGTGGTATGACGATAGAGATCCATGGATATGGAGGGATGAGGATGAGCAGCAGAGAGAGAGAGAGAGAGAGAGAGAGAGAGAGAGAGAGAGAGAGAGAGAGAGAGAGAGAGAGAGAGAGAGAGAGAGAGAGAGAGAGAGAGAGAGAGAGAGAGAGAGAGAGAGAGAGAGAGAGAGAGAGAGAGAGAGATAGTGTGTCTGAGCAGAGAAACCTGAGATATCTGGCCCCAGGCGATCTGTGAACGTTTGCCCTCCTTCACTAGAGCTAACTAATGAATTAATGACTGGGTGCCTGGGTTACATGGCTGAATCATTCAGGGACCATTTGGGGGTAAATGTGTGCACTGCACTTTTTTCTGTGCTGTTGGGCTTGTATATTGGTCATATATATATATATATATATATATATATATATATATATACTGTAGTATTTGTACTTGCTAAAGTACAATATAGTTCTGCATACTGTGGCATCAACCTGGGTAGCTTCATTCAGCTCTGCAGCTCAACCTACTTTCAATGGGGAATACAGTTTTGCTCTCAGTGAGAGAGAAAAATGCTGACACATCTCTACAGACTGACAGCATGCAGCAGCATGGAAGGTGAAGTGCACCTTCAAACCCATTAATGCACCAATGCCAATGCCTGTTTATTTACTGCTACATGACAGAGGACATCAAACTTGCAGCTACCAATACTGGCTGTTGTGTTCAATCTCAAAAGAAACCCAAACTTTCAGGTGTCGTTAAACCACCCCAACAGGCCCTGAAGAGAACGGGGCGGGGTAATGCCTGCTACAGCGAGCACAGGATACAAATGAAGGGAGGGGTTGCCTTGGGGGACCAAAGCTCAACGTTTAACAGAACTGCCACAGTCCTAAAGAATGGAATGGAGAGTGAGTAAAACTGGGAAGCCTTTAAGTCACTTTAGCTTTCCTGAATATTTTCTAAAAACAGTTTATTTTCTCCTTATTGTGTGTTTATTGTTGTGGAACAATAAATCTCTCTGCGGCCTTCACAGAGGACTTAGTGAACAGGCATGAAGGTATTGTGTTCAAGCTTGCCTTTGGATCTAGTTGATAGGAAAAGCTTTGCTGCTAGAAAAAAAAACAAAGCTGCTAAGTAGCATGAGTTTCATTTAAAGGGTTAAACATCCTTTCTGTTTTATTAAATAAAGATATGATGATGTCATCATGCGACCACAGCACATGTCTGACAAAAGGAACATTAAGCTTCAGTATGGTCTGAAAATAGAAACAGCTTACTTTAATGAGATTGCTGTGCTGTACGTTGTTTTGCATCCCAGTTTTCTGTCTGTCAGTCTGTTGTGTCAGTGTATCTGTGATGATATATTACAGGGTGAGGTAGCAAAAAACAAGCATTTGCTTAACCAAATGAACTCATCTGCATTTGCAAATAGTACACCAGAGATTTAAATTCGATCGACAGAGGGAATCAACACTGAAACATACGAACAGTGCTGTTCAAATGTCCTAAACAGAGACCTTCAAATTGTTCTTGTTTTGTTTTGACATACAAAGTGATCTCACGTGTTGTTTTCCAAGCTTTTCCAAGATTGTTCAAGCATAAAAATAACACTAAGCTAAAGAAATTAGGCATTGTGGTGCATTGTTATATTTTAGCTTTAGTTTCACTTACTCATTTTACTGAGATCAGGGTCATACTTGCCAGGTCTTGTCTGTCACAAGTTGAAATGAAGAAAATATACATTTATAAAAGGGGAATAGAATATTTTAGCACCAGGTAGATTTCTTAATTTCTAAAATACAAAAAGGCCACCTCACTTAAAACTAAACAAGGAGCTGTGGCAATATTCATTCAAAAGAGCGCAGAAACGTTTTAATGGGTCCGGTGTTTGCCTTATATTTTGAATTTATTTCACTAGCTTACAACAGAACAGCCTTATTGGGAGGGCGATAAATCTGCCACTCACGGAGTGTAGGACCTGTTTCTTCAGCAACAATCATCCAATCAGATGAGAGATTCGCGTCAGAGTAGGCGGGGCGTCATGAGGGATCTCCTTACAGTGGCTGGAGGGAGGCGATTGGGGCGGAGCTTACAGACGGAAGTGTCTCCCGACTGGCCCAGCTGTCATCGAGAAGCGAGAAGAGACCATTTACACCGGCTGCTTAGGCAATGCAGAAAAAGGGAAAACGCTAAAATATGGCAACGTTTAAACGATAAGGTCATGACGCCGAACTGAAGGTAGCTATACCCGACACGACACCCGCAGCTCTCGCTCGTTATTACGTTAGAGCAGAGGTCGAGCTGTTTCGAGATGTGAAAAAGATGACATCGGTAGGTTGTGTGACATTGAACGCACAGGACACGAAACAGACGAGGTCGTTTAAAGAGCCACGCACCAATTCTTATTTGTTATGTCCTGACTAAAAAAAGAGAAATGTGTGCTGCTGACATAGGTCTAACGACATTTCGCGAGACGTGAATGCGGTTGAGGTCGTTCGTCGCCTGGGTGGTTAGCTAACGTCTGTAGCAGCTCGGTGAAGGGAACTACCCTAGATTCCGAACAGACAGGAGACGTCATCAACATTTTCCTGTATTTAAATGGTTGCGTATGAAGAGGTCATTGCAGGAAAAGCGAGATTAGACGGTAGGTGAACTTGCTGTAAACCAGCTCGTCGCTGGAAGGTTCGTGTTGGCGTTGTACAGGACGGATATGGGCTCAAATGTGACTATCTGGCTTTGCGTGATTAAAACGGGACGCATGGAAGGCGGTGGAGCAGCTGTTAGCTCGCTGCTAGCTGCTTAACGACCTTTGGAGACGTCAGCCTCACCAGCTCTGGTGAGGTTGGGTGTTTTCCGTCTTTGCCTGCCTGCTGTAGTGTTATATTTCACCCAGGCCTCCCATGGCCCAACCAGTCAATGATTTAATCTTATTGATTGCATCACAAGACCCAGCAGGCTGCAGCACAAGCACACTCACTGCGTCTGGCAAGACTTCTTATGATTAGTTTGTCCTTGTTTCTCTTTTTTCCTTAGTGATTATATTCAGGGATGTTTTTTTTTTCCTCCTCCATATTTGTAGGAAAAAGACCAAGGTGAAAGCCAGGAGTGAGCTAAAAACTTACTGGGCGTCCTAAATGGGGGACTACGGCTTTGGAGTTCTGGTGAAGAACGGCAGCGGTAACAAATCTGCTTTCCCTGTTCGGATTCCTCCTCACCTACAAGCCCAGCACCCTCACCACCCTTCAAGCCCCCCCAGCCCCCCTTCCTTTGTAAACAACACCTGCTCCACCAATGGGGGCAGCGCTTGGCTGTTTCCTACCATAGCGCAGCACAGTAACATGCAAGATGAGATTCTGGAGTCTGACAAGTCCAAGGCCTTGGACCTTCAAGACATGCAAGAGAAGTCCCAGGTCCAAGCCCAGCCTCAGGCTCTGTCTCCCAGCCAGCAGGAGGCTGGAGGAGGTCTAGCAGAGCTTGAAGGAGCTCTCTCTGAAGATGGCTCATTGGAGAAGGGTTCACTGGAGAGCAGCAGTGGGAAGGAGAAGTTAAGAATGGAGTCCCCAGTGTTGAGCACCTTTCACGAATACCAGGACAACCTGGGGATGGGTACAAGCTGTGCACAGTCCATTTCTTCCTCATCTTCACTGACCACCTTTAACAACTGGTCCCCTGCCGTCCCATCTACCCAGTCTCCAGTGATCGGGGAAGATGTTGGAGGGTTTTTTGGTCCTGCTGGCTCCAACTCAAATGGTCCTCCTCTCCTGTTTCCGAACTTCTCTCACCATGCTGGCCCTGGTTTTGGTGTAGGAGGTGGTTTCTCGCCTCAGATTGGACCAGTGTCCCAACAGCACCCTCCTGCGCCCCACCCCCACAATCAAGGTGTTCCACAGCAACACCGACGCTCCTCAGCTAGTCCCCACCAACCCCAGCCTTCCTTTCCACTGCATCCCCATCGTGCTGGGCCCTTCACCCAGCTGTCACATCTGGCTTCTGCTCAGAGCAAACCCCCCTCACCTTGGGGTAGCTACCAAAGCCTGTCTACTCCCACATCCACCTCTTGGAGTCAGGGTGGCTACGGAGGCTGGGGGGGAACACAGGGGGTTCGAGAGTACAGGCGGGGCGTTGGGGGAGGGGTGGCTGGCCTGAACTCCTTCTCACCACTGAAAAAGTCTTTCCCCAACAACCAGGTAACAAGAGTACAATTAAAAAATGTTGAACAATGACATTTTTGCTCTGGTCTAAGGAGAAGAGTGAAAACACGGACTCTATGTTTGGCAGGTTCCTTCACAAAAGTTCCCCAGAAATTCTTCTGGCATCAACCACAAAGGATGGGTGGAGGACGGCATGAGCCGCAGTGATGGTGTTTATTCTTTCCAGGTAGGCATCTGTGTAGCTGAAAGCTGCACTGGCAAATCTGCAAATAGAGCTAGCTTTAAAACACAAACAGAATCACAGAACTATCACCCCTCCAGGCCGCTATTATCCCTGGGCCACGACCGCCTGACACCAGCTCATCTGATTACTAGTTGGTCAGATGTTTCGTGCCGTCAAGGATTTAGAGGACGTGCGTGGTGTCCAATGACTCGTCTCTTTTTTCCCCCTCTCTTCTTGCCTGGGCTGACGGCGCTGAATGCACAATGCGCTCTATGGCAGTGATGCGCGTGTGGAGTGAATGTATCCTCGTGCAAAACGAGGCCCCTCATGGAGCGTGTTCTGCGTATCAGAAGCTGGGGCGGAGCGGGCGAAATGTTTATGGCTGGTGTTTACTTGGAGAAGGACAGTTATTATTTCAGAAATCATGGAGTTATTAATCAGTAAATGAGTGGAAAAAGTACCGGTACACACTGTACCCTGGAAAAAAAGTACCGGTATGCTGAGAGATAAAAATAAGAAGTGCCAGTACTGTGTGCCGGTGTGTACTGGCCCACTTACAGTACTGATCTCAACTATATGCTTATGGCTATGCTCTGGAAACGCTGAGAGGCATGAAAACAACTGTAAGCTAACTCTAATACTGTTCTGAAATAATCTTAAAAATATAAATAGTTACTTATTTTTGTGTCAAGTGAACACGGGGACTTACTACGTCTCCAGTATTTTCCAGAAGCAAGTGTTAAACCTAGTGAACATGCTCATCTGTCTCAAAGACGAAAACAAAGAAGTCTTTTAGCAAAGGGAGGTCTCGACAGTTCAGCCAACTAAATGGATGAATTGGACCTTCTTGTGTTTATGCTCATGTTCAGGTCTTATCTAGATCACTGGTCTGATCACATGTGCTTGTCCTGGTTTAAGAAGTCTTGTGCTCCTCTGCTGCTGTGTTTGCCCTCACTCCATTATTTACGCAGCAGCACTGAACTACCCATTTCTATATGTTTTCATGCAACACATTTTGGGCTCCATTTTAGTTTTACTTTGCTTTATGCAAAAATCATGTTACTACAAGTGTCTGCAGCCTTTCCTGGTGAGGGTTCTCCATATTCTAGCTGCAGAAGAGCTCTTGTGCTGATGTTACTGTTGAGTTGGGAGACTAATTGTTATCTGCTTCTTCTTCAGCAGGACAGAACGCGGTCTTTTGACGGGTTCAGCATGCACTCTCTGGAGAACTCTTTGATTGACATTATGAGGGCTGAGCAGGATTCCTTAAAAGGTTGGTTCCCACACTAGCAACTGTCAGCAGAGAGCAGTGTTTCTCTCCACCGGCTGCAGACGACAACACCGTTCATCTCCTCATCGTGTAACTGATATTTCAGAATGTGTGTATTTTCTAATGAAAACTATAGAAGACGATGCATTTAATGTGTAGTTACGTCGCCACCGTTGTCGCTTTATGTCAGAAAAATGTTAAAGAAAAAAACAAAACAGGAAATCGTTTCCAGTGCTGTAATCTTAAAGAAAAATACAGATGTGGACAAAATTGTTGGTACCCTTTGGTCAATGAGAGAAAACCCCAGTGTTCAGAAATAACGTAAATCTGACAAAAGTAATAATAACTTACATTTCTATGAATTTGAACCATTGAAAGTCAGATGTTGCATTTCAACCATGCTTCAACAGATTTATTAAAATGAACTCATGGAACAGGCCTGGACAAAAATGATGGTACCCCTAACTTAACATATTGTTGCACAACCTTTTGAGGCCATCACTGCAATCAAACGACTCCTGTAACTGTCGGTGAGACTTCTGCACCTCCCAGCAGGTATTTTGGCCCACTCTTCAGGAGCAAACTGCTCCAGTTGTCTCCCGTGTGAAGGGCGCCTCCTCCACTGCAGCTGTGAAGCATGACGAAGGCTCACACCATGCAGCGACTGCATGGACGTAGTTTTGACTTTAGAAGTGTGTGTGTGTGTGTGTGTGTGTGTGTGTGTGTGTGGGGGGGGGGGTCTTTACAATAAATATAATAAACATATGTATAAAACTACAGCCTAGAGGCCCTTTTCTGCAATGTCAGGAATGCAGAACTGTCTAGTACACAGGTGGCAGGGATGGCCAATCTCACGTTGGCAAGTGTCAGCAGAGCCAATAGATGAGCTCATGGATGGTTCTACTGGGAAACCGGCTTCACCACAAGTGGTTGTTGTCCGCTGGGTCCTAGTGCTCCACCAGTGTCTGTTTAATATAATAAATGTTTTCTGGGCTCTTTTGTTACCATTCAGGTTATACATCTTTGATTTGTCATCAGTTGTCCTCCTGAGACCACATCCAGGGAGGCGGGCTACAGCTGCATGGATCTTACATTTCTGAATATGTGCCACTGTGGTCACAGGAACATCTAGCTGATTGGAGATGATCTTACAGCCTTTATCTTTAACGTGCTTGTCTATATTTTTCTTCACACTCTTCTGAGACAACTCTTCCCTCCTCTTCCTCTGGTCCATGTCGAGCGTGGTACACCATGTCACCAAACACGGTCACTACCTGTACCTGTACATCTGTGATGCTCATTAGTGGACACGCCTTCAGTTAACACGTCCCTCAGTCCTTTCTAGGGGTACCATCGTTTATGTCCAGGTCTGTTCCCTGAGTTGACTTTCTTTTTAATAATTCTGTTGAAGAATGATTGAAAAGCAATGTCTGACTTTTATTGGTTACATCTCATAGATATTTTATTTTATTTACTATAACTTTAGTCAGCCTGAAGTATTTTCTGTAACCATTGTGGGTTTTTCTCTCATCGAGCGAAGAACAGTCCTTGTCTGCATAATAACTGAGTGCCAGCTACAGTCATAAAAAAGAAGCATTGAGGAAGAATCAAAGGTTTCCTCCTCCTGTTGGGAATCCCTTCATGACATTATTTTCTGACATTCTTGTTTCACCATTTAGGACGCTACAGCTTCTCTCATCAGGGTGGAGATGTGACTCTGCCTGTGAATGGTATGTAAAATAATACGCAGCACCGAAGCCAAGTCAGGGCTTGAAATCAGCGTCTGCCACGTGCAGATAAAAACTGCAGGCATTTGTTAAATCCTCTTATTGTCATTTCCGTGCAGTTGGTTGAAATGAGTTCACAAAAGTGAATTATAGAGGGGACAAACCTTTGCATATATCTGAACATGCAGCATGAGCACTCCAGACTTGTAAACAAGCTGTGAAGGAGCTGAAACTGCAAACTTCCCGAAAGGAGGGGAAAAGTCCAGATTATCTATGTGTCTTATAGGTCATGCCCCACTTCTGGATTAAAACGATTTACTCGGTTGTGTCCATTAGTTAGAGTGACGCTGCCAACACCCTAACAGCCTGTGCCAGTTTTGCTCCTTTTGAGCTGGACTCCAGTCACGCTACTTGGTTGGTCTGACATGCTTGTAACTGTGCTGAATACCCATAACTAATGCTTCAGGTGGCTAAAGCATGCTCCATGATGTCACAATACGACTCCCAAACTGCATCTCGTATGTTGTCAAAAGCAGACAGCTTACCAGTTATTTTCTGTTTATCTGCATTTTTAACATCACATTTAAATCCAGCTTTAGAAGATGTTGCCATGTTGGCTCATAAAGTTCATGCTCTGTTAGTGATTTTTATTTAGAGATGTCTTTCTTAAACCCCTGTTTCAAGAGTGTTTTGTGTTTTACATGCAGCAAGAAGTTATGGCAGAAGACGAGGTAAAGCCTGTGGATGTGTGGTCACATGTCCTCCCCGTGTCTGTCTGCTTGATTACTGACTCATGTCTTCTGACATTGTAAATGTTGTCTGATCATTTTATTTGTAAAACGTACATTTTTTTACAGGTTTCTCCTCAGAGCAGTAGTGATTTCACGTTTACCTCAGAAGTAGCCATCATGATAGTTTCTAATCATTCTGGACATTATTTCAGTTAATTTAGCGTAAATCAAACTTTATTTTTCTCATTGTTAAAATGATGAGATCTGTGTTTAGTGGTGAAATATATAAATATATATATATATTTATATATATATATATTTTTGTTTATCAGGTCATTCATCCCTCTTCCCCATGGAGGATGAGCGCCCCTTTGGAGAGGATGAGTCCGGTGACCAGGGCCTTGCTGGACTCGGTTCAGCACACTGTTTCCCTCACCTCAACGGTGAACGCGTGGAGCGTTATTCACGCAAAGTGTTTGTTGGAGGGCTTCCCCCAGACATAGATGAAGGTAAAGACTAGTCGGGACTAACGTGAAATCTTGACTGTAGTGCACCATTTCTGCACATTTGGGTTCTACCTTATGTGCTGCACTCTGCAACTGCTGCTAGCTCTGATTTGAGATTTGTACTTATTACTTTCTGCAGATGAAATCACTGCCAGTTTCCGCCGATTTGGTCATCTGTTTGTAGACTGGCCTCACAAGGCAGAGAGCAAGTCCTATTTCCCACCAAAAGGTGAGACAAGTCTGGCTGATGGCTGAAGCTGGTAATTATAAATTGAGACATTTGTGCAAATGTGGAGTAAATTTCCACAAAGTGTATTAATGTCAAGCGTTTTATTTCTTTTTTGTCTTGGATCAGTTTCACGCGTCTCCTAAGGGCCAGTAGAGTGTAAAGCTACATTTAAATAGTTGATTAAAGGCAGTTTTGGTCGAATGCAGCATAGCAAAAGACCGAGCTGTGTCTGAGCTGCTTTCTATGTAAATGAGTCACCTTGAAAAGATGAGGGAGAGAGAGCTGCTCTAGAAAAGCTTCTGATGAAGCGCAATAACAAGCCACTCCCGCCAACATTAGCCTTAGGTCGTTTATAAGTGGTCAGACTGTGGTGGTCGTGTTGCACAACCTCATCCTTTTCACAAAAGATGGCCGTCTAAAGGGGGTATGGAGGCAGTCTCTGCACTGCAGCGGACTTACGTTTAACTTTGACATAACTTGCTTTTTACTGTGATCAAACCCACTCTCCTCCAGTGTCTGTGCAGTCTCTGGTGATCTGACCTTCCGCTCTAACCGAGAAAAGCTCCAGGTGCACTGCTTTGCTCCAGATCATCACCTCAGCTGATTCTGTTCACAAAAGTGAAACTTGGTCTTCCACCCGTCTCCTTAGGTTCTGATAGAAAATAGATGGAAAGACGCTCGGTTCATAAAAATCTGACAGATCTTCATCACACTGTCCCTTAACATTCATGGACTCACCCATCTGGACTCAGTGGAAAAGGCTGCTGTTGGTTTAGCACCCAGAAACGGAGCGTCTCGACTAGTCAAAGCTAACTATTCGCATTAGCAACTCCACCACACAGCAGAACTCCTCCAGGCTTGTGTTATTTGTGGAGATGAAACAAAAACGTTGCCAAGCAAACATAGTCAGTGGTAGTCACCTTGCTGTTATCCAATCACAGGCAAGAAGTCCAAATGTCAGGAAATAAGTCCAAATCCTGCTGTCTGAAGCTACTTTAGTCCTAACTAGTGCACCACAGCTTTTTCCCCAGAGTATGACTTAAAATATGACTTACAAGGGCTGCATGGTGGCGCAGTGGTTAGCACTGTTGTCTCGCAGCACGAGGTTGCAGGTTCGAGACTCTGCTGCGGCCTTTCTGCGTGGAGTTGTGTGTTCTCCCCCCATGCATGCGTGGGTTTCCTCCGGGTACTCCAGTTTCCCCCACAGATCACAACATGCCCTATAGGTTATAAATTGTAAGTCGCTTTGGATAAAAGCGTCTGCCAAATAAACATAAACAAGGCATTCATTCCTACTGGAGACCACTGCAAACGTATTAAAAATATGAGTAAAGTTGATCTTTAAACTCTGGTTGCAGCAATGCTAACAGTAGAACTATGACGTCTAGCATTCCAATAGTTACTCTCTTTGCTCCAATCTGTCTGTTTGTTTTATGCTGTTTTATCTTTTATTGTTGTGTAATTTATCTCTGTAAAGTGTCCTTGAGTGTTCAGAAAGGCGCTGTTGAAATAAAATGTATTATTATTATTATTATTATTATTATGAGCTGAGCTACTTTTGATGCTAGCTTGAGCTGCGGACACTCTTATTGGACCAGGGGTAAAAAACAGAAGGATGTTGGAGCAGCACTCACCATCCAGGATGTACCTAATTTGACCGCTGATGTTGAGCCATGCTGTGCTCACATTCAGAATGAGTCACACACACATGCACACGTTTGTCTTTTTTATCATAGTGAGGAGCATCCATTGACTTCCATTCATTTTTAATGATTGTACAGGTGCTGGCCAGTAAATTAGAATATCATCAAAAGGTTTAAAATATTTCAGTAATTCCATTCAAAACGTGAAACTTGTACATTATATTCATGCAATGCACACAGACCAATGTATTTCCGATGTTTATTACGTTTAATTTTGATATTTATAGGTGACAACCAATGAAAACATCAAATCTGGTATCTCAGAAAATTAGAATATTCTAAAGGCCAATGAAAAAATGTTTGTTTCTCTAATGTTGGCCAACTGAAAAGAATGAACATGAAAAGAATGTGCATGTATAGCACTCAATACTTAGTCGGGGCTCCTTTTGCCTCAATAACTGCAGTAATGCGGCGTGGCATGGACTCGATCAGTCTGTGGCACTGCTCAGGTGTTATGAGAGCCCAGGTTGCTCTGATAGTCGTCTTCAGCTCCTCTGCATTGTTGGGTCTAGCGTATTGCATCCTCCGCTTCACAATACCCCATAGATTTTCTATGGGGTTAAGGTCAGGCGAGTTTGCTGGCCAATCAAGGACAGGGATACCATGGTCCTTGAACCAGGTGCTGGTGGTTTTGGCACTGTGTGCAGGTGCCAAGTCCTGTTGAAAGGTGAAGTCTGCATCCCCATAAAGTTGGTCAGCAGCAGGAAGCATGAAGTGCTCTAAAACTTCCTGGTAGACGGCTGCATTGACCCTGGACCTCAGGAAACAGAGTGGGCCAACACCGGCAGATGACATGGCACCCCACACCATCACTGACGGTGGAAACTTTACACTGGACCTCATGCAACGTGGATTCTGTGCTTCTCCGCTCTTCCTCCAGACTCTGGGTCCTTGATTTCCAAAGGAAATGCAGAACTTGCTTTCATCAGAAAACATAACTTTGGACCACTCAGCATCAGTCCAGTCCTTTTTGTCCTTGGCCCAGGCGAGACGCTTCTTGCGCTGTTTCTTGTTCAAGAGTGGCTTGACACACGGAATGCGACACCTGAATCCCATGTCTTTCATGAGTCTCCTCGTGGTGGTTCTTGAAGCGCTGACTCCAGCTGCAGTCCACTCTTTGTGGATCTCCCCCACATTTTTGAATGGGTTTGTCGTCACAATTCTCTGCAGGGTGCGGTTATCCCTAGAGCTTGTACACTTTTTTCTACCACATTTTTTCCGTCCCTTCGCCTGTCTGTTAATGTGCTTGGACACAGAGCTCTGCGAACAGCCAGCTTCTTTAGCAATCACCTTTTGTGTCTTGCCCTCCTTGTGCAAGGTGTCAATGATTGTCTTTTGGACAGCTGTTAAGTCAGAAGTCTTCCCCATGATTGTGGTGCCTTCAAAACAAGACTGAGGGACCTTTTAAAGGCCTTTGCAGGTGTTTTGAGTAAATCAGCTGATTAGAGTGGCAGCAGGTGTCTTCTATATTCAGCCTTTTCAGAATATTCTAATTTTTTGAGATACCAAATTTGGAGTTTTCATTAGTTGTCACTTATGAATATCAAATTTAAATGTAATGAACATTGGAAATACATTGGTCTGTGTGCATTGCATGAATATAATGTACAAGTTTCACGTTTTGAATGGAATTACTGAAATATTTTCAACCTTTTGATGATATTCTAATTTACTGGCCAGCACCTGTATTATGCCTAACCCATACCCTGACCATCACCAATGCTGATCTATTCCAAACCCTAACCTTAACTAAAACTTAATTCACACAATAGGGAGCCTAAGTCACGCCCATCTACTTCCGGGTCCCCGGAAGAACGAAATAATTAATGTAAGTCATTCAGGCTAAAAACGCTATTTTCTAATTCCACTTATGTGACATGGATTTCTCATATGATGTTCGAAAATAAGTGCTTGGTAACAAAATGAGCCTTGAAAATTCGCAAACAGCCTCTGGTAGAGTCACCCATGGCAAACGGGACCTAGGTGAGGGATCGGACAAAGTGCCTTTTATGATGAACAATACAAATGGAAACAGTATTCCCTTGCATGGACGCGGGTCACTGGGGCCCCCTTCTGGAGCCAGCCCTGGAGTTGGAGCTTGTTGGCGAGAGCCTGGTGGCTGGGCTTTTACCCATGGAGCCCGAAGAATAGATGTTGGTCCCCCTTTCTATGAGCTCACCACTTGTGAGAGGGGCCAAAGGGGTCGGGTGCATGTGTGTCAGATGGTAGCCGAAGGCGTGGCGGTCTGATCCTCAACTACAAAAGAGAATAAAGATGTATAAGCATTGGTCTTAGGGCTCTGTTTAAAAACTTCAACCATTTCCGGAGCCCTGAGTAAAAAAATATGGTCTAAGATAAGATCATGGAGACATTTATAAACCAATAAAACTTCAAATTGATCCTAAAATGTACAGCAAGCAAATGCAGACATTTTAAAACGGGTGTAATATGTTCCCGCCCTCTGGTCCTGCTCAGCACACGTGCTGCTGAAGTCTGGAGTAGTTGTGAGGCACAAGCACTCTTTTTTTTCTTTTGGGTGGACCAGAGAGCAGGGTACTTCAATAATCCAATCTACTGGAAGTGATTCAGAGTTTATACCTGGTTCTTCCTCTGGTGATCTGATGGACACGCCCGATTTACTGTAATGGCTCTAAAGATAATTTTATCATCATTCTAGGCGTGTCTCAAACATCACCTTGGAATGAGACTAGGGTTGCAAGGATGAACCGGTTTGACTATTAACCACGGTGTGAAACGCTGCAGTTAACCCACTGTAAAGTCGTCTTCAACACTGCAAATAAAAAAAGATTGTAATGTTTAATCAACTCTTAATTCCTGTTCTACATAGCAATAATATCATTCATCCATGTCCAAATAATATTCTTACTGAGGACATTTGAAAAGGTATGAATGAGTAGAAATTACATGTAAGTAATAAGTAATCATAATATCTGCACTACTAGGAGTTCAGCATCATTAAGGTGTCTCCATCTTTCAGTGCTAACCCTGACCAGCTGTTGACAGTTAAACCTTTTTGTCTTTTTACAGAAACTCCAAAAAAGTCTATTAGACAAATGTAAATAAAGGTATGGCTCACTGAAAAAAACATTTTAATGATTATTTCTGATAATCAGTCAGTGAGTTTTTCATGCAGGCTGAACATGAGAATAGTCTCCTACACCTATCTCCTGCATTAGTTTCTGATAGAAAATAGACAGTGAAACGCTAGGATTAGAAAATCCTGACAGATCTACGTCACGCTGTCACTGAACATTCATCTTGACTCACGACGGGGAAGGCCGTTGGTTTAGCATCCAGGAAACAGCAGAGAACGTCTCGACTAGTAGAAGATAACTGTTAGCATTAGCAACTCCACCACGCAGCAGAACTCCTCCAGGTTTGTTTTATTTGTGGAGGTAAAACATCAACATTGCAAATCAGTAGTAGTGAAATTTTCTAAGCTAAATCCCTGAAAATGATTAATCGATATTTCAGGGGTTCAAATCCTTTATGTAATATATATAGAAGTATATAGTAGTACATTATATATAGAAGTATGTAGTAGTATATTATATATAGAATGTGTGTGTGATTCATGTTAATTAGATGTGAAATCGATTCATGTAAAATAATCGTAATGGTGAAACTGTGATTATTTCTCAGCCTAAAATCGCACCACCAAAATGTATGATCGTTGCAACCCTAAGAGACGTGTGTGTGGCGTTTGCTGTGTGACCACAACTGTTCTCTCTCTTTCTCTCTCTCTCTCTCTCTCTTTTTCTTTTTTCTCTTTCTTTTTTTCTTTTTCTCTTTTTTTCTTTCTTTCTCTCTTTTTCTCTTTTTCTTTCTTTCTCTCTTTTTCTCTTTCTTTCTTCCTTCCATTGGTGGCCTCATATTTAGAAATTTGTCTGATAAATAGAAAATTCTGTGTTGTGACCCGGGCTAAACTCCTCCCACAGTTTCTGTCTAAAATAACAGGATTCCAAATAGGTTTTGAACACTGAAGATGGCTCATTTTTTACACATTTACAATGTTAGCCCTTCAGCCTCTGCAAGGCATGCTCAAAACAGACAGCCTTCAAAACATTTTGAGACCTTTTGGAAATTGTTTAGCAAATATTGCTCATGATTTATCACCCAAAGTGGGCAGACCAGTGAAGTACTGGTTTTAGTGTTATCTTGGCCTTGAAGGGGTGTTCCAATGTCTGTGCATGCTCATTGTTACGGTCTTTTGATGCTTCCAGGATACGCTTTCCTGCTGTTTCAAGATGAGAGCTCTGTTCAGGCTCTGATCGATGCTTGCATTCAGGAAGATGGCAAACTTTACTTGTGTGTCTCCAGCCCCACCATCAAAGACAAGCCAGTGAGTGTGTTACTTTGGTTGCAGCTTGCATGCTTGTTTCCTGTCTGTGCCAACAATTACACAAACACTTTTATCTGTGCCACATCTCAACAGCAAAGACAGGAGCTTAAACAAAAGACATAACACATTAAGAGGCAGTGGTGTTTTTGTAGGTCCAGATCCGTCCCTGGAACCTTAATGATAGTGACTTTGTGATGGATGGCTCTCAACCTTTGGACCCAAGGAAGACCATCTTTGTGGGAGGTGTTCCCCGCCCCCTACGTGCAGGTGCAGTACAGAGAGCAACTCTAAACTCTGCTTTTCAGTATCTGGAGCATTGGGGTGAATCCAATATGTTCCATTGTTCCAGTTGAGCTTGCCATGATCATGGATCGCCTGTATGGGGGAGTGTGTTACGCTGGGATCGACACAGACCCAGAACTCAAGTATCCAAAAGGTGCAGGGAGGGTGGCATTCTCCAATCAGCAGAGCTACATTGCGGCCATCAGTGCTCGGTTTGTTCAGCTGCAGCACGGGGAGATTGATAAACGGGTGAGTTGATCTGAAGGGAGCCGCTCCATTCAGCCATAATCTAAAGTCAGAAAATATTCACATCCACCATTCTGCAATCTAAATGGGTTTCCTGCCTCTCAGGTGGAAGTGAAGCCATATGTCCTGGATGACCAGCTGTGCGATGAGTGCCAGGGCACTCGCTGCGGTGGGAAGTTTGCTCCATTCTTCTGCGCTAATGTGACCTGTCTGCAGTACTACTGTGAGTACTGCTGGGCAGCCATCCACTCTCGGGCCGGCCGTGAGTTTCACAAGCCGCTGGTGAAGGAGGGGGGGGACCGACCACGACACATCTCCTTCCGATGGAACTAACGCATACGGGGAGGTTGCGGCGGAAGATTGAGGGAGGGGCTAAATTAGGGATGGGGTATGGGTTGTGAAATGAAAAATAAATGCACTTTTCTTTTAAGTTAAAAATAATATTACTAATTTATATTTTATGTTATTTTTTTAATTGGGCCATTTAAAAAAAAAGAAATGCTGAAAAAAAGAGTGAAATCCCATTTCTGTTTTGACTTTAGGTGTGCACGAGCATATGGATGCATTAGATTTGAATTTATATCTTTATTTTTCCTTACCTGAGTGTACTTTTTCTGGTTTGGCAAAGCTGCTTACATTTTAGTTAAAAGTAACAAAACTATGGTGAGGTTCCTTATACTTAAATCATATTGTCAACAATGGAAGTTGAGTTTAAAGAAGGGTGCATTTTTTTTCTTACTTTTTGCTTGCAAAATTGGTGGACAACGGTACAATTTACCAAAGGTTGAATGCAAATGGTTGGAACTCTGGTTTTGGATGGATGGATTATTGAATTTTTCAAGTAGATTAGTGTGCATCACCTGGCCACGCCACTAAACAAATTCTTCCCTCAGCTTGGCACACAGGTTTAGATTGTTGGCATGATCTTGTAGGTCTTGGTTTACGAGTTAACACTTTGTAACCAGAAAGAGCAAACCAAAGATTGGCCTAAACGTTACCATAAGCGGTCATTGAGCTGAGGGGTTTTGGTTCACAGGCGTCCTCTTCTCATACAGTAGAGGAATGACCATTTGGGTTTCAGCTGACAGAGACACGGCCCTCAGGGCTCAGGTATTGGCAGTAGTATTTATTCACTTTATATAGTCAGGGATATTAGCACTGGAAGCTAACATACTAATGTTGTACTAACTAATGGGAATGCACAGTCCAGTCTCCCCTGAGCTGTCCTCATGGTGTACCACTGCACGCTCTGCTGTGACCGGAGCTTCTACCACCAAGTGTTGTGGTTGGAAAACGGTAGTAGCTTGAATTTACTGTCACAGAGATAAAGATATTATTTTATACATGGCCTGCTGATTTTTGTACAGTGTTTTATAGCTGATTATTTTGTCATGAACATATATACATTTATTATGCACTACTTTTTCTAAATATTTTTTTCAATAGTCATTTTAGGCACATTTTTCACAAAATGGGAGAACTCCTTTTGCAATACCTCATTTTTTTCACTTGGTGGAAAAATAATTTTGTACCTTTTTGTTACTAAGAGATCTGCATTTATTGTAAAATTTAATTTAAAGAAAAGTGATTAATATAAGTTTCGATTAGCTTTTATATATTTAAGTGCTGGTAAATCTGAAAATCGTCTGGTGCATTGATGTGATTCTGTGGATTAAAAAAAATCAGCAGAAAAAAATAAGACTGGTGTAGCCAGTAGTATACACGTGTTCTCCTCTTCTAATTAACGTTATTACAGGATCCTAAGGCATGGCAAGACCTTTCTAAACTGATTTTGATAGTCTTGAGTATAAATACCCTGATATTTTGCTCCTAGTTGTAGTCCGTATCATTACCATTAGGGTAGATGTTTTGGCTTTTGGTCGATGTAAAATCTTCCTTTCTACAACCGGAGTTGATATCAGCTGTTTTGAATTTTTTTTAGATCTTTCTGAAACTGCCTGTAAGTTCTACTTATTCTTGGCATGCATACGAGATAACATGGCTATAACGCAGGACCTAATGTAATGCACTAGATCTCCTTTCTGACTTTCTTTTCCTCATCTCCTTTGAGATTGCCTCTCTCGTAGCCTCTCTTTTCACAACGGAGTCTGCCTTCCTTACACAGGCGTGATGTTTATGCAATATACACCGTGACAACACTTTGGACGTGTTTCGTAACATGGAGGACACTCGGTAAAGCATAAGTGACGAGACACTTGACCCACCCACCCACCCCTCTCTCTTTTGTGATGTGGCATGCTTTGGGACATAACCTGAATGTTATTTAATGTTGCAAGTTAACTTTGAGCCATTATGTGCAATACTTACTATTCTTTGCAGAAACAGTTCTCCGCAGTGTAAGTCATTTGATCATATAAATCATGCAGTCTTTTACACTTTGATTTTGTTAGTTTCTCATGCTGATGTCTGCAAAAGAAGAAAAAAGTTTATACTACAATTAATTTTCTAAACATTAGTTTTGTGCTTATCAGCTTATTTTGCTATTACCATGCTACTGTGATTGAAAACATTGTATATATATCCTAGGTCGATTTATTGTAATTTAGCGTTTGCTCTATTTTCCAACAGAAATGTCTAATCATTTATTTTGATCCGAGTTACTTTTGTTTTGGGGTGAAGTGTTGAACTTGATGTGTCTAGTTTTTCTAATTGCTGTAAACGTGCTCCACCATTTTCACATGAAAACAACATTGATTATGTCTTAGCATGACTTGATTGAAATATGTCAATAGTTTTTAATTGAATGCTGGGAAGGTCATATTTATTTATTGTTTTTTTGTTTTTTTACCAGATATCATTTTTGATTTTTACTAAGTCATTTCACATTTATTTGTAAGTTCTGATTTTTATATATTTTTTTCTTCCTGATTTCTTTACGCTACAATACAGACATCAGTTTTTATAGTTGGTTTGTAGTATTGAAGTAAAACAAAGACCTAAAGTCATGAATTGATTTGCTGCCAACTGTTTGTAACTGTATGCATACATTTGAAGTATTTGTAATGTGAGATGTTGAACAAATAAACAGCTGTGAGGAAGAAAATCATCCATATTCAACAACTTTTCCACCTTAGATGTAATGAGAAGGTTTTCCTGTAACTTACAATCGCAGACCTGATACTGCTGCTCCTGGAGCGTGCGTTGCACATCTGGTGGGAGGATTCAGGTCACAGGTATTTATAGGCTGAGGCTTATTTGGGGCCTTTGGGAGTGTTATTTAGCTCACCTAATCCTTCCACTTCATTACTCAAATGCCCCTTTCCAGTCAAATAAGGTAAGTTACTCTAAATATAATGTAAATTGGTAAACGTGGAACCTATAAAAACTTGCCTGTAAGTTTTGGTTGTTAATAAATTGTTAGAAACTGGAGTGAAACATTGATTTAAAAAAAATGAAATGTTCAGGTTCTTTATCTCACTGGTGACTTCATTTTCCAACTGTCGTTTCAAGTTTTACTTAAATTCAGTCGTCCTGTGATTAAACATTTTGACTGAATAAATATAATTGTACAGATTTAAGCCTCATGCACCATTATTCACGTATAAATTATTTTGTATCCCCCACTGTTGAAAAAAGTAGCCAAAAATGTTCAATGCCATTGAAGCAGTTTGGATCTGACAAAATAAACTGAAGATCAACAAGTGAAAGGCAGACATCACCGTTGAATAAGACAATTATTTTATTGCACCAATGTTTTATAAATTTCAAGTTATTTCAATGACGATTGGGGATTTTTTTATAAACCTACCACAAATTTTGTTGTAATGATTAAGTCTTTCTGTTGAATAAGTGATGCAGTAGAAAAATAATCCAAATTTATTTGGTCAAAGATGTGTGATTCATATGTTTATGGTGTGTGTTGTTGAAAAATAAAATAAACATGCTTGTAAACTGTTCTCTGAACAACGGCGCCCCCTGCTGGCTGGCGGTAAAATCTGAAGTCCCACAGCTCAAGTGCATCCATCCGTACAGTCCATACTGAGACAAGCAGACATGCCGCCCTCGAAGACCGCGTATGTCCCCCGGTTCGGGTCACAGCAAAGAGGCGAACCGGGCCTGAACCAGCCCGAGACCTTCACACCGTCTCAGAGCGACAAGCGCGGGAAAAGCAGGAGTAAAAAAGCTGAAAACCCAGCTCGGTCTCTGTTAAAAGTCAAGTTGTCTCAGCGAACAACACGACAAAGGGACAACAGAATGCCCACATCCGTTTTGGAGTCGACGGGGATTCAAACCAGGACGTGGATAAATCAAGAGAGAACAACACAAAGTAATATTACCATTAAATTATTAAAGAAAAAGTAACCAGCTAAGATCGATGTTAGCTAACCTCTATCTCGAGTCAAGCTAACCATAAAATTAACTTATTAGCTGATGGGATAAACGGAGATTAAAGTTGGAATTCTTTACTCCCCCCCCCCCCCCCCCCCCCCCCCATACTTTTCAGTGGCCCTAATGCTCTTCCATAGAAATAAATCTAGTTTATGGTAGATTACGGGTTTTCAGCCCAAAGCCTTTTGGGTTTGTGCTTTTTATTTTTGTCTGATTTTGTTTTTTAGCTTGTTGCTACAGAGTCAAAAATCAGCTAAACGAAACTATTTTAGACATTGTTTATAATAGTTTCTTATTTGTTTTAGACATTGTTTATAATATGTTCTTATTTCTATTCTTGTATTAAATGTGTGCGTCAGAAAATGAAGCCAGAATTGATGGATTACTCTTGCCAAAATATGGCAAAGGGCCTGTTTTGTATAGCGCCTTCTTATGGTTCTACAACCCCCCCAAGGCGCTTCACAACTCAACCATGATCTCATTTCAAAGCTAACTCAGATCGTGCACAAGTTTTTCACATGTCAATCATTACTCTGTATCTACAGTTTGATGCTTACTAGAAACAACTAATCTTGATACAGATGCTGTTCTGCTAATGCCATCAGGTGCCATCACTGCCCCTGCTCCTGTTGAAAGAGATGTTTTCTGTTTCTCTCAAACATCCAACTACAAAACAACAAATGGGAAGGAAAAGGTAGGTTTTGGCTGAAAATATGGACTCTAATGAAGAAGAAACGCATACAGATGCACCCTTAAAGGCCCAATGTGTGATATTTCATCTTATAAGTTATCAAATTTCTTGTATCACATTCTCAAATTTGTTTTTTTTTTAATGATAATTCAAACAAGCATTTATTCTAAGCATTATTATTAGCTTTATATTTTAATATTTTAGACAAAAGAAGCAGACCGGTGCTCCATATGGCATGCGCCATCTTAAAATACAGTGACCTTTTAGGGACATACAACATATTAAGCTTCGTATTTGATGTTTGCGTTTTTTTAAATGATGTAACCTCAAAGAAACAGCAGGGGGCAGAAGTGCGCCTTGTAAGCATGCAGTCTGACAAAGTAACTAAGAAGAAGAAGAAACTAGCCACACCGTACTTCTAGCGATGGAGGATCACACATATTCTACAAGCAAACTTGAGAAACGGGATAGTTTGTCTCATCCAAGTAAAAGAAAAAGGATTTTGAAAAGTGAACAAGACTCCTCATCAGCTCTTGAAAGCGCCGATCTTCTAGACTTTATTGCAGCTCTGCCTCTTCCTCTTGTGCGTGGGACGTTGCGGCTGGTTTGAGCAAATTCGGCTCCTTCATCTTGGGATGCTTGCCCTGCTTCTGTCGCATGTCTAACACCTCTGCCTCTCTGTGCGCTGGCACACGTCTGTCCTCTCCCTCTTCCTCTCCCTCTTCCTCGCCCTCTTCCTCTCCCTCGTCCTCTGTCTGTCTCCACTGATGAACCATCGGATGATATCTGACTCTGTTTACGGAGAGAAAACAATTAGACTACACTACCATGTATATTTCCAAAATGGCAAATAGAAATATAACATTTCTCAAATAAAATGAACAAAATATTGTCATTTTTTGTAGTCAGAAGTCATCACTAACTAGCTGCCGTTTGCTATTAGCAAACATAACTGACATAAAAAAGTTTTTCTTATTCAAAACCTATTTAGATTAAATTAATAAAATAAGTTGGATGAAAACAACTAACCTGTTCGCTGACTTGAAAGCTGGAATTAGATGATGACATGCTGCCGTTTACAGCAACACGATTTTGTATTGTATTTGTTATATTTGTTAATAAAGTTTTAAATAATGATAAAAAAAAACCTTTTTGATCCTCGGGGGCTCCAATAGCTGCAATACCGACTCTAAACTGCGTGGTGCTAAAGAGTCGGATCTTTTTACTATAATTTCTGTGAATTTCACACACGGGGCCTTTAAAACTCATAAATTCTTTATTTAAATTATTTGAGATTAAAATAATTACCTGTCAAGTCTGTCACATATTTTGTACACAATCATTCAGGATGACAAATGTTCTACCATGGCTTTGAATTTAACACCATTTCCATGTAAGACTGGCTTTTTTATGACAATGCGACAATGGTTATATGGAAAAGAAATTGGCTTAAAACGTTTTTTTTAATCATGCCTCCTAACAACATTCTAACATAGTATAGCTGCAATTATATTGTGGAGATAAAAAAACAAGAAAAAAATTTATAAAGTGGTTTGACACCGCCTCTTTAACCTGCAGGGTCCCACAAGGGTCAGTTCTAGGGCCTCTACTAGGGTTGTCACGGTATGAAAATTTAGCCTCACGGTTATTGTGACCAAAATTATCACGGTTTTCGGTATTATCGCGGTATTTTTTAAACGGTGTTGCATATGTTCAGAAAGCATTGATAGTCCTGTTCTACACAAACTGAAATAGTTTTGAAAAGGTTTAACAATGTTTATTAAACCTAAAATAACACAAAGCCATAGCAAAAGTGCAACTTTTCGCAAGTAAAGGAACAAATAGCTTCTTTTTCTGGAACATGTTACAGTAGTCAGTGCAGGTTTAAATGATACAAATCCAAACATTCAAAACATAAACAATATGTAAACAAATCAAAGAAACACCACTTGTTTTCTCATATACTTGTTTTCTTCATTATCAAAATGAAAATCTAAAACTCCAGTCCACACTTGACTTGAGCGCTGTACAAGTCAACCTTAAAAAAGTATGTATTTAAAATAAATAGCCACTTTAAACAAATTACTAAAATAACTACTACACTATGTAATCAAATCCAAATGTTCAAGTATAAATGGCATTGAATAAGTAAACAAATCAATGACAAGGAACTAATTGTATATTTCTCTTCATCATCAACAAATAAGATGCTTCATCCAGCAACAGGGTGTCCGTGACACGGTTTAAATGCTGGCAGAGGACTCTGCGGCTGCAGTATATAGTGACTCGTTGCATTCTCCCTCAACGAAAAGTCCTCACATCATGCATTTAAGCTAAAATGCTAATGTTAACTTACCTTGCACTGGCTGTAGAGACGTGGGTGATGGTCACGCAGATGTGCCATTAGATTCGAAGTGTTGCTGCCTTTTGCAGACACTTGTTTCCTGCACGTTCTGCAAACGGGAGAGCAGTCTTCTATTAACTGTCCCTCAGCATTTTTCAGAAATCCAAAATATGCCCATACTTCCGATTTAGTCTTCTTTGAGGGCTGATGGATGTCCTGGGCGCTGCCGTCTCCTCCTTCGGCCATTATTTCAGCTTCAAAGTTTTGGTGCCGTTGCAAACTAAAAAGTGCGTGTGCGCGCCGCGGGAACTTCAGCTGAAGCGACGGTGGCTGGTAAGGGTCACCGCGCCGAAACCGCGGCCACGGTAAACCCACCGAGATAATTTAGTTTTTTAAAAACTGGACGGTTATTTTTATTGTCAACTTTTTTACCGGGGTTTATCGCTATACCGGTTACCGTGACAACCCTAGCCTCTACTATTCGCGTTCTATATTCTTCCTCTAGTTGGCATCATTCAGTCTTTCCCAGACATCTCCTACCACATTTACGCTGACAATATTCAGCTCTATATGTCCTTCATGCCTCACCAGTTGGACAGGCTGGCCACCCTTGTACTCTGCCTGACCTAGATCAGTAAATGGCTGTCCATCAACTTTCTTGTTCTCAACGCCAACAAGACAGAGACCCTGATCTCTGCACCCCAGGAACTTCAGCCAAAAATCGAACGGGAAATTGCCTCCTTTTGCCCAACAGCCAAGTCCAACATTAGAAACCTGGGAGTTATTTTTGATCCAGTTTTAAATTTAGACTCACATGTCAAAACCATCTCTTGCTCTTGTTTCTTTCACCTGAGAAGCATTTCAAAAGTTTGTAAACTGGTTTCACCTGCAGATCTGGAAACAATCATCCACGCTAGGGTTTCCCATTTTTCCAACCTGGTGTCCCAGAGCAAAGGGAACCCCAAGGTGCAGTTTAACACCATCAGCAGCATTGTCTCTCCTGCCTCTCCTACAGCCTCCATCCAAGAACGCTGTAATCCACCCGCTTCTTAAAAAACAGAGTCTTGACGCCTCTCTCCATTGCAGCTTCAGACCCATCTCCAAACTTCCGTTCATCTCCAAGATTGTGGAAAAGGTTGTGGCTAAACAGCTCACAGCCTCTCTTGATGAACACAACATCTATGATAGCTTCCAGTCAGGTTTTTGTAGAGCTCATTCTACTGAAACAGCTCTTCTTAGGGTCTCTAATGACCTTCTGACTCACAGTGATGCAGGGGACTGTTCTGTTCTGTTCCTGCTGGACCTGACTGCAGCCTTTGGCACTGTTGACCATCACCTGCTACTGGAGAGGCTGAGAGACTGGGTAGGCCTATCAGGAACTGCTCTGGAGTGGTTCTCCTCTTATCTCTTTGAGCGCTCCTTTTCTGTGGCCGTCTCCCAAGTTTAGGTCCTCCACGACCTCTCTTACCCATGGTGTCCCACAAGGTTCTGTGCTGGGGCCTCTGCTCTTCCTCCTCTATCTGCTTCCTCTTCAGCACATCCTGAGCTCCTTCAAAGGAATATCCTACCATCTTTATGCAGATGACATCCAACTGTACATCTCCTTTAAGCCCCATGAGATGTCTAAAGCCGGGCATACACTGTGCGACTTTTTCACTTTTTTGAGCCAATTTTCCACTTGTGCGAGAATCCACGAGATCTGGGCGAGTTTTGCGCCGTGTAGTGTACAGGGGGTTATGAGAGGCGATTAACACCACGTGACCAGCTACCGATCAGCAATCGTGAGCTCGCACGGACTTCTGGCGTGTTTAATATTTTGCTCGTCCCTCGTGAGGGTATCGCACTGTTGAAGCGGCGCTGCGAGCAGCTGCGACCCTAAAAGTATCAGAACTGCTCACGGCGCAATCCTGCATCAACACCGCTCACCCGCTATTTCCCTAATAACACACGTTGTTCGTTTTTATTTCTACATGTTTTTTTACTCACAAAGATTGTCAAGAAAGCGTGTTTGTCGTGTTCATGTCAAATTAAACTGATCACAAAACACAGATTTACTTTCTTTATTTCGTTTTCCTCGTCCGACCCCCATAAATCCCCATGTGTCCTCCTGCAGCACTCCCGAAGGACAACAGACAAGACAAAAAAAGTCTGACGTTTTGTGTAAAAACTGCTATTTTTAGCATATTTTTAAGGGCTGACGTGTTGCTACCAGACGTGCAGTGTGAGCAGTCAGGTCGCATCCGAGAACTGGGCCGTGCAGTGTGAGCACATGACTCGTGAGATCTGCTGCGAGGAAGTCGTACAGTTTGAGCTGAAGCTGAGTGCTACGAGTGAAAAAGTCGCACAGTGTACGCCCGGCTTAAGCTGCAGCTGTTACACACCTGCTTAGACTCTATCAAAACCTGGATGGTGGGAGCTTTCTTCAGCTGAATGAAGATAAGACTGAGATCCTCATTTGTGCCCCAGACAAGCTGGTTCCCAAAGTCAGAGACTCTCTTGGTCAGCTTGCTTCCCACACCAAACCTTCTGTTAGGAATCTTGGCGTGACCTTTGACCCAGCTCTCAACCTGGATTCTCATGTCAGTTCTCTTGTTGGCTCCTCCTTCTTCCATCTCAGGAATGTTGCTAAGCTGAGTCCCATTCTGTCCCGCTCTGAACTTGAGACAGTTCTCCACACCTTCATCTCCTCATGCTTAGACTACTGTAACTCTCTTTTCACATGTCTGAGCAGTAGGGCTGCAACAAACGATTATTTGGATAATCGATGAATTGGATGGGGTCTCGACACGATTCATTGATTAATTGGATTACATAGGGACATTTTTAAAATCTGCTAGGGAAACGTTATTTCTCTCCTTCCTTCACTTTATTAAACACAACATTATTAGAAAACAGTTCAGTAGCAGAAAAACAACATGCCATCACCTAAATTGTCTTATAAGGTGTATAGACAGAGACCCTAAGCTACACCTATCTGTGACCTAAAATGCTTGGTCCAAGTTAAACAGCTTAAAGAGCAAGTCAACCCCTACCAGAGTCTAACTCCACTCCCACTTCATGTTTGAAAAATGCAACACATGCTGTTGCCTGGCAGACCGAGAGGGCGGAGCCGCTAACAAATACACACACACTCAGGCTCACGACAGCATTGTGACATCATAATGTACCAGTTTACATCATAGCATACTTCTTAGCAAATAGCGGTGGCAGATTTAAATTAAAATACAGTGCAGAGTTTTTACCTGACAACGGCACAACACTGCCAGTTTTAGGCAGAATATTTAAATTTTAACTAAGATTTACTGAAGTGCCAAATTATTGACGACACGTGTCTGCAGCACGATTAGACACTCGTTTATTTAGTTTATCAGCAAAAAAAAGTTTATTTGGGGGTGACCTGCTCTTTAAGGGCAATTCTCATCTGTTTTGTTTGATCTCATCTGTAGACATTTATTATAATTGGGGATGTCAAACAACTAATTTTTAAATGTAATTAAACATAGGCTGTGAATTAATCAAAATTAATCACCATTTCCAAAAATGACTGAAAAAATACCAAATAAAACAAAAGTCATATCAAGAGATGCTGCTGATCATTCCAATGATCCCAAATAGACTCACATTAGGCCACATGAAAGCAACTGAACCCAAAAATATATTAACCAGTATATAACTGCACACTCACACAACACGCCTGCAGCAACAGTTAGGACTCCTCCCTCCCTTTTAAAAGCGTTTTCGCTTCCGAGGACATTGTGGTTGTAAAACCACATGCTAGTAGTCTGGCCGCGGTGTGATCAACCAGTTTCTGCGGGAATGTGACGGCGGAACCGGTTCGCAGCAGCGCAAGCCCCCCCCCCCCCCCCCCCCCCC